CATTTACGCTCTTGTAAAGTAATGTCTATTCCCTAAAGGTAACCATGTAAACAAGGGCTGGCTGATTCAGGAGACTGCTGAGTCAAAAGGGAAGACATGGCAAAAAGAACATAAGCCGGTTAGTAGGTTTCAGAGACAACCTAAAACAACCTGCCAGCAGAGTGCACACTGGCCAGGTCTACATGAGACACTGACTGTGCAGTAGCCCAATAGTACTGTGCAGTACTGTCACGTGGCAAAAACCATGATGCAATGCTACTGCACAGTAGTATTAGGCTACTGCACAGCAGCATCACAAAAAAGGTGTTCATCCATGCTACTGTGCAGTAACTCAGTGTACTGCACAGTCATTTAGTACTTGTTTATACAAGTATTAAATGACTGCGCAGTAACAACCGTGCAGTCAGCATCTCATGTAGATGCAGCCCCTACTACCTTTTATTTATAGGCCTTTATTACAGTTCTCTCAGAAAAAGATGCTTATCAGCTTAGCACTTTGGAAGAGCTTTAGAACCTCAAAGCCCCATGAGCTTCATGGTGATGCTGAGAGACTTGTCTCTCAGGTCAAAATGGTGCTAAGGAAATTCATTCAGTTCAACTCAAATCTCTCAGAACTTGTCATCTTTGTAGACCTTGCTCAAGTTAAAACTCAAGAGTTGCAAGCATCTTGAGTTCTACCTACATAAAAAAAACATTAAGTAGATTGTGGTGATGCTTTTGGCTGTTCTATTATTGGTATAAATTGTAGCTCAAGTCAGAACAACTTATTAGATGATAACATGACTACTCTGGGCTGCAGACTCAGTCTCCCTAGACAGAGCCAGTGTTATTTCATAACACGCCCGCTCTTACTTGAGTTAGGCTAATTCAAGAGGAGTCAACTCCAACAGAGATAACTTGACTTATCTCTGCAGGGGAGACACAGGCTTAGAGTTAGGAGACTGAAACCAGCTGTAAGCAAAGACAACAATACCACAACAGCACCAATTCCATGTTAGACATAAAAAGTGATACAATGTATATGGTGCACCACTTTTCAAAACAAAGGGATGGAATCGCAGGTAAGCTGTATGAGTTTTGACTTTCTCACCTAAAAAAGGGCAAGTCAGTAGGATGGTGGAAAGAGAATTGTGGGATGGCATAGGAGGAATGAGTGACAGAAAGGGCAGAGGTCAATTTGTGGTAGGAAAAGAAGGAAAAATAATGTGGTCCTTGACTATCAGGAGGAAGATGTCAACTTAGATTTTGAAACAAAGATGGAATCCCAGGAGATTGCTCATGGTGAGAGTTCCAGGGTCCTGCTTTTCAAAAGAGGAGAATACAACTGACCTGATTCTCTACTCACCTCTGCCCAAATTATAGAAACCCTCACAGAATAAAGAAAGTGTGAGAAAAAAGAAGAAACATTCTGGATATATTTTGGACAAATCTATAATTTAGAGTTACTTCCAACAAGTGGGCAGAAAGGAGCCTACTACTGATAATGTCTTGGAGACAGGAGTCAGAAGACTTTTGGTTACAAACTCCAGAACATGCCCATGCCAGAGAGGGAGTTTGAGGCCATGTCTTGGGTTTTTCACAGGATAAATGAGAACAGAATTCAGGAAGAGGTGAAGGGGCAGCTTTCCAGGTGACAGGACTTTTCTTTTCCCTGTGAGTAGAAGATGAATTGGGATTACATAAAGCTGAAAGGGGTATTAAGAGAATTAGAGTCTGAAAAGACAGAAAATAAAGAATGAATTTTCTGTCTTCAAAGGACATGTTAGAGTTTCAAAGACAAGGTATCCGGAGAAAGAGAAGAAGGAGAAAAGGAGGAAACTAACAACAGTATAGAGTGGACAAGTCAGGTGGAAGCCTCACTGTTAATCATCATAAGCAAATAACCATAGAGATAAATGACTTTTTCCATGCTATCCTTTAGATTAGCCAGGCCCCTTGGACTCCTGCAAGCTGCAGGGAGATGGTGAAGAATGTGGGTAGGATGAGTGACAACAGAACTGAGATCAGAGAGAGCTTATGTACCAGACACACAGGACACAGGTGACCACTTAGCCAGCGAAGCAAGGAAGATCAGGAAAGAGGCTGTTTTGGCTGACATCACTCAAAGAAAAGAAGGTTTTTTTCCAGGAAAACTGAAAAGTTTAGACAAGACTATTGCTTTTTGAGGGGAGAAAGTGGGAGGAAAGATGAATTGTTTCAGAATGGTGAGCACTGTGGAGGGCACCAATTGACTGTGTGTGCTTGATTACAAATTGAAATGAGTTACACAAAGCCACCCTAATAAAAAATTGCTAACACCTGTTCAAAGTGTGCCTGAATGCAAGTTAGTCCCAGATCCACTGGAATGACATTTCAATCAATTAATTTCTTTTATAAATGAGCAGACAAATAATGAACTTTCAGACAAATATGAGGACTGTAGAAACTTATGAAAAGGGATGTGGGTCTATTGTGTGAACCACTGGCAGGAAAAGATGCAAAATGTACATTCAAGGCTTGTACATTACCCCTTTGAGCTTTTATTTTGTACTTGCAAATAAAACATTAATGATGCTGCTTCTTTAATACTTGATATATATATATATTAAAATATTAAGAAGAATAAAAGAACTCTGAAAATTGTATTACAAGATCAGTCCAATAGGACTCTCACTCTCTTCTTCTGCGAGGGATTGGAGAAGTAATTTATGCATAAGGTTACAAAAGCCCTAAAGCTGTTACTATGTTCTTCCAATTGAAATATACAGGATACACTTCAGGCTTTGTTTCCTAGCTCAGTAGCTTCTATAATGGGTGATCACGTACTCATTTTGATGCCAGGACCTTTTGTAGCTTCTGTATGTACAGCTGTCTTTATCCACTAACAATGAGAATGTGTAATACGATGTCTGCTTCCTTTAAAACTAATGCTGCAGCCCCTCTTCTCCCTTCTGCAGCTATATATTCTCAATGTTGATGAGCACATCCTCAGACATGTGGTTCTATTGTTTTATATGGCATGACTTTCACAGGTAAGTACTAACTGATGGCAGTGAACATTGCCTAACTTGGGCCTTATTAATCTTACTTGTGTGAAAATCTATTTATGTTCCCCTTCAAGACTGGGTAAGAAGAAATAGAAGGCAACCACCCCGGAGCTTTGCCATGATTCCCATTTTAGGGAGACACCTTCAACATTGAACAAATTACTTAACCAGATCGAGGAAGGACACCTTTCCTTTACTGATAAACCCAAGAGATTTTGCTTCAAAGGCTTTCCTCTTTATACCCCCAGCTGTATTTCAAAGTAAGTCAGTGCTTGCATTATTGGATACAATTTACATTTCATGCTTTGGACAGAGAATGGACTGCTGTTTGCAGCTCAGATTGTGAGGAAGATGTGGGAAACCAGGTCTGACTTCAGAGTGGCCTTATGCTGCAAAGTAGAACCTGCAAAGCAGCACCAGAAAAGCCAGGTTGTGTTTCATCTCTCTGTGACAGGGGAAAGGTGAGAATCATGAACAGCAATCAGCTGGGACAAATCAAGTTAAATGGAGGTATCTGTGATAGAAGGCAAAATTATGTTTTGTTTTCTTTTTTTTTTCTTTTTTGGTGATTGTTTTGGACCAGCAGTTAGTCCAATAAAAAACATCACAATACTTCTTGTTTGTTTCCTCGACCACCAGGACTACAAAAACACTCCAAACCTACTGTGATGAAAGCGCACTTCACATGGTTGCCTTTGTTACACAATGGCCAACAAAGTGGCCACTTCCTTCTACTTCAGTGAACCTTCAACAAAGAATAAAATTAAAAAGGAAGCATGAATAATGAGATATCAGTATACATCCATCTGCTCTTGCCTTCAAATGGGCGTGGACAATGCGTATAAGCATTTAGGGAACTGAGCTCAATGTCCTTGGTGTCCTAGAGTGGAGTAGTCATTGTTAGTAACTGCAGAGCCCAAATACAGAAGGCCCCACAATCTCTTTTATATACAGGCAAAATTATAAATGAAATTAATGGGAGTTTTGCCTGAATAAACATAAAAGAGGATGAATGAGTCTCCTCTCACATCATTTTGTCCTACAATGAAGCACTCCTATAGACCTAAGTGGAATTATTTCTGATTTACACCAGTGAGAAGAGAATCAGATGTGGGCCAAATACTGCCTTCTTTTCACACCAGCATTTAGCTGCTGGACTTACAGCACTGAAGCCAAGGTATGACACTGAGGACTTTGCTCATAATTACTTACAGTGAACTATCAAAGTAACTTAACCAGAAGTGAAACAGCAGTTTTTGAGGCTCAGCAATCCCACTATTTCCATACAATCATTTTACTGTGGACCGCTCATGAAAAACCTTTTTAAAAAGCTGTTAAGATTTCACACTGCTCCAGGTACTGTACTTTGTCTAATATTACTCTATTGCCATACATTTTGGAAAGACTTTCCTCTCCAGTTCTCCAGATTGCTCATATTAGTCAGGCATTCATTTTGGATATTAAGATCACTGAAGATGATTTTGTTCCAAGTACAAGTTTTCTTTAAGAATGTGTTCAGCAGTACATTTTTGCTTCCACAAAAGCCTAGGGAATTGCTTTATACCTGGGACAATGGTAGTGTTCGATGATGCTTAATAGACTCTATGGTCCCATAACTGCCCATTTTCACTACTAGCAATGAGGCCTGACAGCTTACTGTCTTATGGTGCTACCAGTTGATTGCAGAAAGAAGGTTTCATTTAGTTCCCTAACTTACTTTCAGAAATTAAATCCTTGAAAATGCATATGTAAAAAAAAAATTAAAAGGGAAACAGCAACAATAATAAAACATCTTCCCAAACTAATGAATAATGGAACATACCACAGTCCTAAAACATTTTTCTGTCTTGTAACATTCTTCTAGAATAATGTCGGTACAATGGGAGGTAGTGTGAGGGGGAAAAAAGGACAATATATTTGGCATCCTTAAAGTAATCACAAAAGTTATACATATGAAAAATAATTTATAATTACCTCTGTTGAGTGAAGCTGAACTGTTTATATCTCCAGTAATAAAGGAAGACTCAGACTGCTTTCGAACTGTGTCATTCCACATCCGACGAATACGGCTCTGAAGAGGGATTGAACCACAGCAGGTAATGAATTTTTAGCAGCTGCAGATAGGTTTCTTTCTGCCTCACTAAAGATGGCTATTGGCATCTCTAGCTCAGGATGAGACTTGTTTCTATCCAGCTGTAAGTAAGCAGTGTCTGATTGGTTGTAACCTACCTATTGCATACCAGACACATCATTCCCAGGCTTCATAACATGAATTTATATCTCAAATAAGAAGTGCATCACAGGATACCATATATTTTCTAAATCTTAATAAAAAAACAATACAGGCCATGAAAAAGAAACCCCTCCAAATCCATGTGGGATACTGTTCCAACAATGGAGCATTGAATAACTGAAACTAGCAAATACTAGCGTATATGGGTCTGAAATTACCTTGGTGTATATTGATTTGTATGTTTTTGTAAAGTATAATGGAATAGCTGTTATATGTCTAGGCATCTCTGGATGTACTGAGGTTTTTTTCACAACTCGATTATTCATCACGGCAAACATTAGAAATAACTACAAAATAAAAGGCCTTATATTTTCATAATAAAAAAAAATATCTGATGGTTTGGATACTGACAGTGCAGCATTCTTGGGTACAACATGAACACAGGAAAGTGATCTTATCCTACTGTCCTGAATTGTGTGCTTTTGTTTCAATTCTCAGATGGGTTGTGGAATATTTATATACACTACTTCATGCCACAATCTCCCTCCTCCCAGTCCTTCACTTAAAATCTATGGCCAGGTTTCCAAAAAATTAAACAGCTAACGCTAAGTCCAGATTTTCAGAAGATTGCCATGACTTACAGCTCTCATTGTTCTCTGAAAATCTCTCCATTTCTTTCAGGTGCCTAAAAGGGGGGCGGGGAGGAGGTTGATTTGTGTTTTTGAACTGTTGCTGATTATTTAGGTACCTAAAGAGGAGTTGTTGTGTGTTGAACACTTTCAGAAGTCTGACCCCATATTATGGGTTATTCTCCCCTAGATCAGGAGAGGCACATTCCTGAACTGCATCTCTTGACCTTAGGAATGGAGATTTTTTAACAAAGCTGCACACAATTAAAAAGTTTTTCTCTTTTTCCACTGGAACAGAAAGAGTTTAATATTAGGAGGGAGGAGTGATGGAGAGCCCAGGGCTTTGCAGTCATGGAGATACAAGAGGGTGTGCCCAGTCTCAGACTGTGTAAGTATGCTGCCTTGACACTGTGTGTCAACAGATCTACCAAGTATTGAGAAACATTTGTCCAACCTCAGTGACACAAGGGAGGGGAGAGCAGAAGAGAGATATTGGTCTTGCTCTCACCTGTGATGTCCATGAGATGGCACAAAGGAGAGAAAGTTCAGTTACTCCTTATGGCATGGTGAAGGCTGGGATATACTAAGAAGTGTAAGGGAGTTAAGAAGGTGTCTAGCACTGTTACATTCCTTAACATCTGACTGAAAATAGTGAGAGAACCCATACTGGTTATATTTTACATTACTGTTTCATTTATTTGTGATTTATACTAAGTTAATAAGTTAGAAGTGGGTCATAGCTATGAACAGTATGCCAGCCATGAACAGTATGTCACAGGTGATTCAATCCATACAAGCAGGAGGAGTTACAGGTGGTCATGAGTCCAACCTGTTGCACCTCATAATAACTGATGGGCCCTACATTAAAACATCTATTAATCATGTATTAACCTTTACAGACTTTCCAAAAGAGGAAATCCTAGTGTCCCATTTTTTAAATGATATTTAATTATTACTGGGGGACCAAGTCTGGGTATTACTTCTAATGCTTTGGAGTGTCTTTAAGATGGGGTGGGGGAATCCCAAGATTTTTTATTTCCCCTCCTCCTGCCTCACCTTTCAATGTGTATTTTGCTAAAAGGAAAAAAAAAAAAGCTTGAGTGCTTTCAAGCAGACCCATATCATTTCTCTAAAAATTCTCCAAGTTTACTGGCCTTAGGTGACCAATAAATGGCATTAGATGCTCTCCATAACACAGTGGGATCATCATCCATTTTTTGCTGTCATTTTGTATGGGTATATTTTAATGTTCAGGAAAGATGCTGATGGCCAGGCCCAGAGATGGGAATCCTCTGCTGCTATGAAGAACCAACAAACACTGCAATGGGAGCAAAACTGGCCAAAGTACCTCAATTTTTACCTAGAGGGATGGCCTCTTTCCTCTCCAAGGCACAATCATCCTTCAGCTTCAGTGTTACAGCAGTCAAAAGGAATGCCTATCGGAGTTAACTGTAATGATCATTTCTGTGATATGGGCACCTACCTAGTCATAAATAGGGACCTACCCAACTCACAAGAAGAGAAATCAATTTTCACAGCTTGGTCATGGCTTAAAGAGCCAATTTCACAGTCATTTTGCAGTAGCCCCACCCCTTGGCATTGACTGGCAGTCCCAGGGGGAGAAGGGACAAGGAGGTGGATGCCATCTTGCTTGCTGGCTGTCCTTCATGCAGCCCTGCCTCTCAGTGCTGATTAGTGGAGTGGCACGAGGGGGCAACTGCCATCTTAGCTTCTTCCATTCATGCCACCCTGCCAGCCAGCACCTTCCCCTCCCAAGTGGGCTATAAGGCTGGGCTGCAACAGCAGCAAGGACCACTGGCTCCCATTAGGGAGCCAGCATTTTTTTGTTGGTTGATTTCCTGAGAAAGCACAGCTAATCCCATTTTTTGTGGAGATCACCATTTTTTGTGTTTCCCACAAAAATTGCAAAACCAGGATTTAAGTACGGCCCTAGTCATAAATCCTATTGGATCAACACATTTCAATGGCTACCAAACAATGGTCAGATGTAACAATTTTTGGTCATGACTGACAGGTGTGGAACTGAATGAGGCAAAAGACTCTACAATTCTACTGCCATTTTCCCTGAGTTGGCCCAGTTCCTTGCAAACACCAAACAAGAGCTCTTGGATGGCATCTTGGAAAACTTAAAAAAATAAATAACAATTTGCATCTAAAATATAAATCACAAATGATGTTTTCCAGGGAGGTTATAAACTGCTATTCGCTGTGTGTTCCTTTCATAATTTAATAGGTGAACTGTCAAGTATAATTAGATCCATTAGTAATACAGAATACATTTGTGTTTGGTTTCTATTGATTAAGTTAAGCTGCCTCATTTTATATGAACTGTTCTTCATAAATCTGTATCTGTATACAAGGTAGCAAGTAAAATACTAAATGCACCACCTAAATAGAAATTGATTTTTTAGATGACCAAGGCATAACCAGTTTAGAAAATAAATAGTAGTTTTGAAACCTGGTGGATTTGTTGAAGGGAATTTGAAACCAAGAAAATCAGTAACCCACAGAATTGATTAAAACAGTTAACACCAGTAAATGATCTGTTTCATCATCCATGCTGTATGGAGATGTTTTGTTGTCTTCTCTCAGAAAAAAGGGTAGGAATACTACAGTAATCTTATCATGTAGTACATATATTACTCAGCTGGGGAAAATAGACCATTCTGGAGTGTTTGCTTTCCTCTCAATTCATTTTCAGAGTGTTAGGGGAAACTAATGACAATTACAATTTCAGTAACTAGACTGTATTTGATTATGAGATGTCAGATTTGAAAGATGGGAGACAAACTTAGTTGTTCATTGTACTGGTATAGCTCTGAAGAAGCTCCTTTGACTTCTGATGGCATACATACTGTTTTAGGGAGGATAAGTTAACCCATAATGTCCAAAAGGGGAAATATATACCGCCACACACACACACACACACACACACACACAGACGTGCATGTGTGTACACAACAAAACATCTCATACAGTCTATACACACACACACACATATACACACACATACTCACACACCAAGTAAAGTCTGGATGGTCAATTTTTCAAATCATTTCTATAATCAACTACTTCCCAATCCATTTTAAACCACACAACATCTCTTTGATGGCTGGATCATTGTGGCACAATGCAATGCTCCCATACAAGAGGATGCCATTTCAAGAATGAATCCTTGACCTCCTGATCCCAAGGACACTGCCTGTGTAACAGAGTATATAGCAGGAAGGCGAGAGGCATTGCATTCCAACTAATGAGCACTTTTTACCTGTGAGCCTGTGGAATATCGTCCAGGTGTCCGTGACCCAGAGGTTTTTCCTGAGCCTATGGAACTCTCTGTGCTTTTCCCACTACAGCAATGTGTGCGCAGGCATTTTCCATACTCTTTACGTACCTATCCAACAAAACAGGACCTTCCATTAGCAGGCAGCTCCTCTTCCAGCCAGAGCCTTAAGACTTTTCACAGTGCTATTTTCTTTCTTCAGTGATGTAGTAACATTAAAGTTGCTTTTGTACATTTAAAAAGATTCTATTACACTTCACAATAGCATTCCCATAACAGGTTAGCTCTATGCTTATGATATCACAAGGGACCACTTTTATGTAGAAAAGCTGTTCCCTGACATCAGTAGAATTTAGCTACCTCCAAGGCACATCAGGACAGCATGAGAGAAACTAAAGATATACTATTTATGATTGAAAATTAATACCCTCATAGATTTGATCTAAACTGGCATGTTGGCTCATCTAGGTACTAAAAGTTATTGCTTCTGGCAGTGTGCTAGGATGAAAATTGCAAAACTGAAACATACAGGAAGCATTGATTTTATATTCCTTTTCCTACAGTGAAATACAAACTCCACAAAGCTGTGACAACCAAAAGCAAAGCTGCTTTTAAGGGTAAGCAGCCAGAGCAATTGCCCAGGATGTCAGGCTTTGCAGAGCTCCAGGAGGTGAGCTATCCTATATGTATGTGGAGAAAGAGTGGGGCCCACACTGTAACCTCTGCCCGAGGCCCCCAGCAGTCTAACACTGGCTCTCCCTTGGAGATGAAGTCCTTAGTATGCTGAGAAGGCAGGCATGGTGCTAACTACCCCAGAGAGACCAGTCAGAATTTAGACAATGTTTACGGGCTAATTTCTCTAGTAGAGACAATGGGCCACATTCTCAATAGGTGTAAACTGGTATCCCTCCAGTGGCTTCAGTGGAACCCTATTGCTTCTAGCCAATTGAGAATTCAGGTTTTTGCAAAACTGAGGTCTATGCACATGTGTGATTTTGCCCATAAATGCACAGAGATCAACACGAGGTGAAACTGAAAATGCAGAGATCAGCTTGTGAAACGAATGTGAGGAAAGGACAGTTTACTTATCCATTGGAAAATAATAAATAGAAAAGGAAATTAGCAGCAGAGGTTAACCTGTGAGTGTGCTGCACTTACAGTTATCTGGTTAAATCTCTCTAGTCTTTCTATGAACATTTCAGAAATCTATTTATGAAACAACTGTTTAAACAGCAAATTACAGCTTTTTATATTGGTCCTTCTTTAAGAGCCTGAGACAAACACAATGCCATGTGTGCTCAATGCGCTCTCGAGTGCCTAATCAATTCTTTGCTGAGAGAAAATAATTCAATTGCTTTAATTAGCCACCTACTGCTTCCCACTGCAGCTTTGTGCTGATTTTTTAGTCCATGGTGGATGGAAAGCAAAAAAAAGTATTTTGCTAAATAAGCCCTTCCCCAACCTCTTGGTTCAAACCAACAGAGCCCTGACATCCAGGTACATTTCAGGAGTTTCCTTCATTCTACAATGGCACCACTCAAAAGCGACTCCACTGAAATCACTGATGCTTTACTGGCACAGAACTGCCCTGAGACAGAAGGGATTCCAGCCCTGGGTTATGAATAAGTGCCATGATAGTCACAATGTTGTTGTGTTGCTATATAGTGCTGTGCTGGGAAACAAACCTTTGCAAGGACTGAGAGTTAGAGAAATAGGGTGTATGGGAATTGTGGTCCAGAGAGAATAGTGTGGAAACTTTATCTCCTGATAAAAGGAAACACCTGCATGTCTGATTAGAAGCATCAGTGAGTCAGTGAAGAGCAGATGCAGAACAATTTGAGCTGTAGGAGTCTTAAAGATGTGGAAGGAACAGCATCTGTCTCCCCTAATACATAGAGATGCCAAAAGAGCAAAAACAATGCCTGTAAAGGACAGTCGCTACTCATTTCAGCACCTAACAGGACAGATTCTGATGCTTTCCCGCTGCATAGCAGATAGATCCAGTGATGTCAGTGGGAACAAGGTCTTGCTGAACTCTGAAAAAGAGCCCTAATGTAGGAAAGCAGACCTATATATTAGCACTTAACACTATCCCCTGGACCTTAGCATGTACTTAAATGCTTTTGAAAATAGAGGGCTAGGAAAAGAGAAATGTGACTGGCCAATAACCCTTCCCTCTTT